CAGTGCTCGCTGTACATTCTCCTGCAGTCTGTGTCTTCCAGTGACCAAAAGCAGAAAGTCGTCGGCAAATGCCTGGACTTTGACAGTCTCATCACCATTGTAAAGATCAAATATCGTGTTGGCAACCAGGTTCCATAAGACTGGGCCCAGGCATGAACCCTGGGGACAGCCACGCACCAGTCGTCGTTGAAGTTGGCCATTTGGCATTGTTATCTGTATTTGCCGATCAGACAAATAGCTGCGAATAATCCTGAGGATTTCAATCGGGCACTGAATTCGGTCTAGACATTCGATCACATCTGGCCACCAGAGTGAATCGAATGCCCTTGGATGTCGACCTGACACGACTGCTGTGTGCAGATCGTTATTTCGGTTTTCCTTGATTGTGTGTCCAACAGACTGGTCAGAGCATGCTCTGTTGAAGTACCCTGTTTAAAAACCAAACTGAGCTTGGTGTATTATATTTCTTTTGCTTAAGAAATGATTGAGTCTGCTCAGTATTACTCGTTCAACTACTTTACTAATGGCTGGTAGCAGACTGACAGGCCTGTAGGATCTTGGATCATCGGGGCCCCTCCCGACCTTCAGAAAGAGAACTATCTCGGCTATTTTCATAGTTGTTGGGAAATGACCCAGTCTCCAACATGTGCCGCATAATTTAACCAAGAGCTTTGGGCTTGCTTGATGCACAACCTTGATTAAGATGTTGTCAAGGCCGTCTGGGCCCGGTGCCTTGTTATTGACTAGGGCCTTGACTATTCTGTGCAATTCTTTTGGCGCTGGCAGCTTCGAGTCACTTTCAGTGGTAGTCCAATTAAAGTTATCATAGTGTTCTCTGATGTCCGCCTGTCGTGCTGAGTCTGTATCCTGTGTGTCATTGCGAAAGATAGCTTCAAGTATGTTGCCCAAAATTTCTTCGCTAGTAGTGCCAAGTTGCGAAGCTGCTAACTGTAGTGGACGAAATACTTTCGCACAGGCTACTTTCTGTACCTTGCCATAATGCTCTATGACTCTGCTGCAATGGTTTTGCCACGCTTCCAGTTTGCTATTAATGATTAGTTTTTTGTAACTGGCGTGTTCCATTCTGTAAAGTTGCATTCTACTTTGCCTGGCAGCAGGGTCTATTTCCGCCTGCGCTCTTCTGCGTAAAGCCCTAACTCTACTCCTCTGCTCCGTAAGTTTGCCGTTCCACCAGGATAAAGAGTCAGATATTTTCAATCTCTTCCTTTTGTATGACATCCGAGCAACTGCCATTAGATCATGTATTAATTTATCGTAGATCCTGTCCAAATCGTTACCAGAGTTGTACAGTTGTCTAGTCCTTTGAGGTACTGGGGCAAAATCAGCCTGCACTGTTGCATGAACTTGGAATGTCCGCCATATTTCGTCTTTAAGCGATACTGTGTGTAATATATGCCTCGGCAATTGCAGTTCAAAGAGAATCAGCCTGTGATCACTGAACGTCGGCGTATCATATTGTAATAGAAACTGACTCTCCAATTGCTGATAAGATGTGCTAGTGGGGATGAAGCTAAAGTCAGATCAGGCCAACCCTCCGCCCTAGTGGTAAAGAAAGTGGGAGGGGACTCCTCAGAGTTGATCACAACTAGCCGACTTTCCGAGATAAAGTCTAGAACCTTTCCGGCCTCTCTCATTTTCTCCCCGTGCTTCCCCAAAGAGAACTCGAGGCATTAAAATCCCCTCCTGCTATAATGTGAAACGGATATCTGGCAAGAAAATCAGGATTCAGTTCCTGCAGAAGATCATCCATAGAACCACTGGGAGGCATATAGACGCTCGTGAGGGCTAGCGAGGAAGTGTGTAGTTCTAAAAGGATTGTAACTGTATGTCCGGTTTGTCGGATTAGAACTGGTGACAATGGACCATGATAAATCAAACCTGCGAGTTTTAAAGTTGACAAGTAGATTTTAGCTGTGCTTGGCAGACCAGGTATGTATTCACCACTAGTATAAAACTCCTGTATAAATGAGACTGTGGCCTTAAATCTTACCAATAGATCAGCAAAATTTAATGTAGCTGCTCGCGCCCTTTGCAGATTGCATTGGGCGAATATCATACCTTGCAATTCGTTAGCAAATAGAGAAGTTAATTGTTCGCCTGAGCGCGACGCATCAGACGCTCCATATGCTGCTTGTAGATGGGACATTGCGTGTCACTTGCCTGTGTGTTTTGTATCTAAATTCAATTGCTGAGAAGCGTTTGCCCTTTGACAGTTGACACAGATTGTTAGATCACCACTGCAATCTGTGTGGTGGTGGGCGCCCCCACAAGTGCTGCACACTATTTCTTCACTCTACAATACCTGGCTAGGTGTCCAAAGCCTTGACACTTGAAACAACGCGTAATGCGATGATATTCCTTTACAGCACAGGAACTTAGGCCAAGATAGACACTTCTGAGTGAAAGGACTTTATCTATAATGTGAACATCAAACTCTACGATCCAATTCGTGAGACCCAGTTTACTCTTGAAGGAAGCGTGCTGGGTGTATACCTTCGTTTGAGTAGCGCCCGAGTGCTTGACGAAACGCTGTTGTCAGATCTTCTTTAGTTGTGTCTTCTGGAGTAGCTAACACAATAGCGGAACGTCGTAGAACTCTTGGCTCTCAAACTTGCAGATTGCTTAATTGAGAATTCGCAGTGATGGCGCCTCTTAGTCTTGCTAGATGTGCATTCTCTCTGCACCTTACCAAAAGTTCACGAGATCGTGGGGATCTTACCTATACTACGTGGACACCTAGCTTAATTGGATTGATAACAGATTTAAAAGCTCTTTAATGCTGTCTGGAGTCCTCTTATTGTTTTTGTCTTTAATTAGTAGTACGTGCTCCGAGAGAGAGGAATCTGAAACGGGAGCTTGTTGCTTTTTGCGGGCGCGTTTGTTAACAACCGTCTGGAAAGCTTCTTCCACTATCTGTTCGTTTGGTTCACTTCTTCCTCTGTTTCTGAGAACAGCTTTGAAAATAGTTTTGAAAATAGCTGTTTTGAAAATGCTATCTTGTTGAACAGAGGGGATGGGCTGAACAGTGGTCAGAAGCTGAGCAGTACGGAACACTAAGTTGGAATTTTATCCTTAAATGCCTTTAACTCACCATGAAGTTCTGCAATTTTGACCTCTTGGTGGTTCAAAACAATCCTAATATCAACTAAGTAATCTGCCAGGACAGAAATTACTGCTGAGGTAAGTTTACGTCTACCTCGGTGCTTTTCTAGGTGTCTCAAAAAATTGTCTATTAAGGAATTCACCTTCACAGTTGGCGTCTGTACAGAATCCTCTGAAGTATGTGCCTCTTGGCTAATGACTGCTGGCTGATCTAATTTATACAGCAAATTGGGTAGAATCGTCTCTGGTTGCCATCAGAGACTAGTACTAAATGCCAAAAGATTCGTTCGCAGAAGATAACAATGTTGTGCTTACACAGAGAATAAAGTATAATGCAGTGCAATGTAAAGTTCTTTAAAGAAGTGTAAGTTAAAAACATAAATTCAATGCTAATGATAACCACAAGTAGAATACGCAGAAATATTAAAGATACGCACCACTAAGTACATTAACAGTGCTATATGCTAAGTACTCGTATTACAAAAACAATACTAAAACAAGTGAATGTAATACAGTCAACAAAAAAAACCATAAAAAAAAAAAAAATTTAAAAACTGAGCATATGGTGTAAAAGTCGCAATAGAAGAGTAAAACTTCTACAATTACAATCAAATACTAGTGCGCTATAATAAGGAAATTACACAATTATGGTAAATAAAATAAAAGTCAATTGCAATTACGAATGCAAGTAAAACTACACTAACAAGTTTTAGTGCTAAGATAGTGCTGACACATGAGTGCAATACGCCTAATTAGTACATTGCTTGAAGTGCAATTAGCAAAAAGACATAAAAGATAGCCAGTTCTTAACAAAAGAGGACTATGACAGGACAGAATTCATAGCCAAAGGATTACAGAATGGAAAAAGCACTGCTGCACTATTCCTCGATGTACTGAAAGCTTTCATTCGTGTTTTGCTCAGCGAGCTACTCTGCAAACTTATCAACCTGGGTTCCCAGGATATATCTATTAAAAAAAAAAAAAAAAAAAAAAAGACAATTTGTTGTTTGCTACAAAAATATACTTTCTACACATACACAGAGGAACACATATGTTGGTGTTCCTCAGGGTTCGCTCATCAGCCCGATTTACTTTCTGGTTTATGCAGACGACACGGCAATCCTTGCAAAAAATGCATCCCTAGACCAAGCCATTCAAGCACTGCTGATACACATACATGTACTGAAGGCCTGGCTTTAAATGGAAATTGCAAATCAATGTGGATAAATCTGAAGTGGCCATCTTCACCAGAAGAATAAGAATCAAGCAAAAAATCTATATGTATGGAGCACACATCCCATGGGTTAAGAGTGTCAAATACCTTGGAGTCAAATACCGACATGAAAGATGATGCTGTTTTTGAAAGTGAAAATGACGACGAAGGCTCTAGTAGTGATTGTAACAATACAGAGTTCGAAACTGAAAATATGTATGATGACGAGCCAATGACGACAGAAGAGTTCTATGAAATGTTTGACGAATCTGACCATGAATCAGACGTTGAAGGATTTTGATTTTCTTTATTTACCAAGGTATTTTTTATCGTATATTTACTTTTTTTTTCTCAGATGATTTTGAATAAATGTAGTACTTAAAAAAAAATTTTCTCGGTCAATTTCGGAAGTGGGGGGCAGACGTATATGCGGGTTTCTTATTTTCTACGAATTTTTTATGTCGAGGGGGGGGGGGGTCGACTTATACGCGGGTATATACGGTAGTTGAGATATTTTGAAACTTAAAGAAAGTGATATGATAAGCAAAGTAATGGTTTAGAAAAGTTCCGCTGTAGCTAAATTTGTTCTTTTGTTTTAAATCTGTTATTGTACTTGAAATTTTAAATACTTATATGATTTAATTTTTTAACCGTTTTATTTCAGGTGCAACAAATTGCTAAAATTCTTAATGCTCATATGGATGCACTGCAGTGGGTAGATCAGAATACAGGTATATATTAAAATTTTAGTTTATAATGACAAGTAAAAGAGTAATTTTAATTACGTAAATTTGACATGAACTAATTGAGATTTTTTAATTTGCTTAAATAATATGCTTTCCAATCATTACTATAAATATATATTTCTCTCATGTTGATGGAACTAGGGACTTCTAGAATATACATGGCAGGAAGCTAACAATAAGGATTTTAGGAACAGAAAACGAAACATTGTACCAAAATGAAAAGTTGTTAAAAGTTTAGAGGAATTTTAGATTTTAAAACAGAGCATAAAAATAAGAATATAACATTGCATGGTTTCATAAAATAGTTAAATTGGTGATTCCTTGAAGGGAAAAATAAAAACTATCACGTTGTGATTATATTACCTTTCCCAACCTAATGTTGTGACCAGAGCTCATTTTGCTGTTTTCCATTGCTCTCCAAGGTCAAGAAAGAAGAAACTGTGTAGAACGATCATTTTAAATTTTAATATTTATATAGTACTAATTATAATTTAAAAAATTTAAAAACTAAATCACATTTTCCTCATATGAGAAATTTTATTTTATATTACAGGGTTCGTAGCGGTCCTTACAAGTGCTTATAAGTCTTTATATTTGAAAATAAAATATAAAGGCCCTTATAGGTGCTTACTTTTTCTTCAAAGCCCTTATTTTTTTGTTTTTAGTGCTTATTTTTTGCTTTTAGTGCTTTTTTTTTTTAAATCCTTTGTTTTTAATGAACGCGCATTTTTTTCCCCGTAACAAAGCCGAAACTAAATAAACAACTTTTCTTCCTTATATGCAATGTCAGATGGTGAATCATACTCTCGAAAATTGCTTTCCCCCCTTCCTCTGCCTTAACGTAACCTATGGTGCGCGCGAGAGTACAGACAGGTGCATGTCATTCTATTGGCCAAAGAATTGCGAAAACGTAGAAAATTCCGGTACATTCGGTATTCTTTTCCTCCCACCCAAATACTACACACGTTTGAATTTCTATCAAGATTTATTAAATTTCATTCTCGTTCCGCGTGGTCTGTTCATATTCGTGTTTATTTTTATGATCGTTATTATACTATATTATGAGCATATGTGTGAATATTATAATAATATAATTGCAGTAACTGCTGAAGTATAGATAAACTTCCCAAAAATGGGTGTGTTTTTACACAGATTAGCTTCTCTCAGGAATAATATTCGGAATGGCCTTAAATAAAAGGAAAGTAATCGAATAGTCGAAAATAATTTCATTTTCTTTGCCAATACATTATACAGTACGGAGGTTGGGAGTTTCTCCGCAAAATCTCTAATATTGAAGCAGCAGACTTTTTTTCTGTCACTGTCCAATCTGGATTGAATAGGACCAAAAGTTTTTGAGGTCTACCCAACCCAAGCGAAGATTGATTCTATTCCGGAAATTCTATTCCAGTCTGTTGCAAATTAGAATCAGAAACACCCCAGATTAGTAGGTCTCTTTCTTTTCTTTTGTTTAATTCTTTCTCCGAATACCCAGGACTTAGAAGAATACCCAGGACTATTTATCCCTGCGAATACCGGCAGGTGTTGATTCCGATTGCGTAATATCACATATGGAAGAATTACGCTGCACGTATTGCGCAATAACGTTTGCAGTATTTTGCATTGGTAATTAATTTTGATGTTCAGCCTGAGATTTGTTTATGAACACTTAAAAGAGTTTTACTGTGCTTTCTAAGCAGAATATTTCTCAGTTCCGTTGGTTTTTGTATGATGCACATATCGAAATGTCAAAATCATTTATTTAGCCTAAATTTAAATCTAAAGAACGGCTACAATCTCCCCCACTCCTCTTTTTCCAATTACTATCCGGAAAATTCGGGAATTTCCGAGTATGCTGGCTAGCTAAGCTTTTACTGTTAAAGGATGACTGAATGAAGCAATTTCCCGTCTTCTGATTTCAGAAATGTGCTTCATTTTTACTTAAATTACTTTGCTTGGGATATATGTTAAGGGAAAACTGTTATGCAATGAAAATTTAGAAAATGTTCAGAATTTTGATGTAAATTAAATTATTTAAATGTTAATATGAGTGGAAAAATAAATTGTATTTATTATTAGGTGCCGAACGAATACAAATATAGCTTAATATTATTTATTTTCAATATTTTCAACTGAAATATCATCATTAAATATTGTAATAAAGTTTAGTTCTGCATATTTTTTCCCCCTCTCATTGTAAACTAATTCTGTAAATTGAAAACTGTCATTTAAAATTAAAAAAAAAAAGTTAATTAATTGTTTTCCATTGTTGAGGTAATGCTCATTCTCTTAATAAATATTGCATTGGCTCATATTTTAAATTACAAGTCTAATTTTTCTTTTAAGGTTATGCAGTTGTGTATAATGTAATTAGACAGGTGCTTATTTTTTTTCTTAAAATGTGCTTGAAAAGTGCTTATAGGTGCTTATTTTTTTAACTAAAATGTGGCTATGAACCCTGTATTAGTTACAAAAGCATTAGATTTCCATTAACTAATTGTATCACTGAGATAATTCTATCTACACAGTACTGCCATAAGTTCTGTGAGTAAAATCTAAACACACTATAGTATGGTAATTGTGAATGAAGAAGCGTGGCAACGTTGCATGTTGTCGGCTACAATGTGACCTTTATGACTCCGCCAGTAACCGTCTTGCAGTGTGGCAACAGCAGGCGGTACGCAGGAAAGAAGTTAAAAATGCTGTTCATGCAAGGATTTGATAAAATGCTGTGCGTAAACAAATAATTTTGTCTTGTGAAATGAATATATTTCCATAAACTATGGATATGTCACATATCTGAAGGATGATTTACATGTTGGTGCATATAAAAGGTGTATGCAGCATTTAATAACTGAAAAATTAAAGGAGATATGCCATGTTTGATCCCATGTTTTGTTAATGATGTATGGTGAGAGCAAGCAGTCTTCTAACTAGCAAAATGATTGTGTGTATGCATGGTCTTCCAAGGAAGCAAGAGAAAAAGTTGTACTTGTGCAGCACAGACATCCCTCTGCTTCTGCATGGTATGGTGTGCGGTTTCCTGGTGAGGAATATTGGAAGTGCATTCTTGTGAAGGTAGTGTAAAGACTTCTGCATCTGTCTACCACACAGTTTTGGAAATGGTGATACCATATATTAATATAAAGCTGTTTAAAAAAAATAATGGTTTTTTGAGCAGGGTACATGTTAATTAATAATCTATTGCTCTGCACACAAAGCAAAAATAATGCAGCAGTGGTTGACAACTGATGTGTCATTGTTCACTGCTGCTGCTTACTGGCCAAGTGAAAGTCCGAAATAAAGTCCATTGAATTACACTTTTTTTTTTTTTTTTTTTTTTTTTTTTTTTTTTTTTTTTTTTTTTTTTTTTTTTCTTTTTTTTTTTTTGTAGCAGAAACGGCCAAGTGAAAGTCCGAAATTAAGTCCATTGGATTACACTCTGTAGCAGAAATGTCAAAAATGGCACCACAGTATTGAGATGTTAAAAAAAAAATCAATCACGTTAGCTGCCAAAAAAAAAAAAATCCATTGGACACAATTCATGCAGCTATTGATGGCCTCAGAATCTTTCCAGTGTGTTGCTGCACATGATGATTATTTTGAATAAGAGTATATTCATTCTGTAGCACTTAAAATATATATATATATACAAATTAATGGATTTGCCTAATTTTATTTAGTAGTTATATGCATTGCAAGTACTGACAGAACTTATGTCAGTACTGTGTATATTCATGATTAAAAACTTTTGTTTCCTATAACAAATTTGAGGATGGTTAAAGATAAAAAATCATGCATAATTTTCGAAAATTATTTTTCATATTGTACAAATAATCATTATTAAAAACAACTTTTCAGTAATCACCTTTTTCCTGGGATATAAATAATAAAAATAAAAAAAAAAAATTCTTTCTTTACCAGAACATATTTTCTGTCTCATAATTATAATTTTCCAATCTAAAATACGAGGGCTATCCAGAAAGTAGATTACGTTTGGATATAAAAAAATAAACAAAGTATAGGAAAACAAATTTTATTATATACAGAGATGAAAGCCACACTCAAAATACTACTTTTCTACATAGTCACCATACAAATTAAGGCATTTATCGTAGCGATGTACGAGCTTGGAAATTCCTTCGTCGAAAAAATTCGGCCGCCTGCGCCTTCAACCACTTCGTTACCTCTTCTTGCCTTCCATCTTGCACAAAACTTGTGGTAACCAAGCTTTTCGCTGATGATTTCGTGCAACACAAACTTCGCGAAATTTGTGGAAAACTCAAAGAAAGTTCCGGTTATTGTGAAAATTTCGATTTTTCACGGACTTTAGCATCGACTTTTTCGAGAAGTTCGGCGGTCACTATGCTGGGTCTCCCACTTCGATCTTCGTCGTGAACATTGGTTCGGCCATTTTGAAATCTTATGACCCACTGACGCACTCCACCTTTCAGTGATAATGTTGTCCCCATACACTTCACGAAGCTGCCGATAGATTTCTATCGGTTTACAGTTTTTTGCAGTCAGAAACCTTATTACTGAGCGCACCTCGCAGCTCGCGGGATTTTCAATTAACGCAGACATTTCAAACCGTCACAGTATCTGAACGGAGCACAGCACGAACCTCTCACTAGCACTGCTAGATGCAGACTGAGCTGCGCAACGCTCTGACCCCAAGATGGCCGCGCTAGCCCCGCCCCTAGCGGACACAGACGGAAACGTAATCTACTTCCTGGATGGCCCTCGTATGAGGTCTACCAGAAAATTCTGTCTGTTAGGGAAGTGAAAGAAAATAATCCGCTTTTCGTAGTTATCATTCGGTCCAAAAAGGGTTAATTTTTGTTCCAAGCAAGCAGAAATGAGCATATGATGACTCAATCATGCATATGTTTCTTACTTAACTCATCCGAAACATACATAAACTAATACTAGTTTCCAAATCTGGTTCGAAATGGTTTGCTGAGTTAAGCTTTTCCACAATCTCTGAT